TCAACATAGAAGTTGGAGATAATTGTCTTAGTTTTCTAATAAAATTAAGATAAACTTAATAGCATATATATAGCTCTAGCTAAGGTGTTTGGACCACACAATATCGTATATGAAAATGTATTATGCGAGTGTGATATTGATATGCTTGTAAGCTATGTATGAGTTATAGTGATGTGATCCCTTATGCCATTGGTTGCTAATATTTAATTGAGATAGTTAAATTATTAATTGTTATATTGAGAATGGTTGATGATTTTATGATATGAGATTAGTTGACAATGAATTAATGAGATCATACAAAATGTTATGTGATATGTGATATATGATATTTTACTAGTGTCACATGCATGATAACATGTAGTTCATGTCCATTGCATTTGCAATATAATCTTATCTATTGTTACTTATTATGCTATGAATGAGTTAAATATGATGATGTGTAACTATGTATGCTATATCATGTTGTATGTGTTTGACTAGTTGGTTTGCATTCCTACACTATGAGTTAGAGTGAGATGTTTCTCACTTCCTTTTCTTTTGTGTTGTCTTCTTGAGATGTTTCTCACTTCCTTTTCTTTTGTGTTGTCTTCTTGTGATTTTTGCAAGTAATCATCAACATGGTATTGAGGATGTTAGTGGTGAGGCTTGGTCCTCAATGTTGGGTTTTGCTTTGACAAGACACGTGACACCGAAGAATTAGTTAGGACTAGACAGGATTTGATTCTTGTTATTTGCTTTGAGTTGTTTAATTTGTATTCCCATTGTAATTATTATTTCTGCCAAGTCTAGTTTATATTAAAATGTGATTTTCTCTACTTGTGTGAACTTTAAGTTTATTTATTATATTGAGGTTATTCAATTTTATATTGTATTATGGCATGCGGGGTAGAGGGTGTCACATTTAGTGGTATCAGAGCAAGTCCTCTCTCCTAGTACAATGTGGTTTGAGGACCAATCAGGTGGAACCTGATGGACTTGTAACAACCTGAACACACTAGACTGAGAGGGATCTAGACATTTGTAAAAGTGTAAAATTGTACGATTGAGGATGACTTAAAGAAATCAATTTGTACTACCTATACTAATAAGATGCATCTATTTTTCGGTAGCTCATCACATAAGAACTTCATAGTTAAGCGTGCTTAACTTGGATAAATTTAGGGATAGGTGATCTTCTGGGAAGTTTCCTAGAAAACGTGTGAATGAGGACAAAACACATTGAAAAGTCTTGTGTTGGTTTGTGGGATCAATTGTTGATCCTAGAGGCAGACAGACATCTCAAAAATGGTTTTCCCAAAAAACGCGTGACTGAAGACAAAACATACTAAAAAGTCTTGTGTTAGTTTATGACGTTAGTCGTTGATCCTAGAGGCAGATGGACATCTCACACTAAAACGTCTTGTGTTGATTTATAGGGTTAGCCATTGATCTTAGAGGCTATAATACCCTGACGGGCTCTTATAGATTTTCTTCTTAGTTGAAAGTGGACTAAAAGGGTCACCTATTGTGTGATATTGTGGTCCATGTACTCCTAGGTTACCTCATATTTTGCAAACTCTTTATGCGAAGAAAATGATATATCATACATATAGAAATAAACGCACAAGAGTTCATGTATCTAATGAGATGGAGGACCATCCTTGAGGCATCATATAAGGCCTATAACAAGGTCCATGGCTAGGAGAGTAGAGGAAGATGAAGAACACACCACACCAAAAGCCATGCTTATCATGTGTGAATTTTGGGCCCTCTCCTTAGCTTGTTGCTTTCCTTTCCTATTTTTCCCTTGTATTTTGGGGTACATTAGAAATTAGGATTTTAATTTGTATTTTTATTTAGCCTTTGTATTATGGGGCAAATTAGTCATAGGATTTATTTAGGGACTTAACTTTGACTTGTGAGGTCAAAAGTCCATTTCTTTCATTTTCTAGGACTAGGGATACTTTAGACTTTTTAGAGAGATGAGAGCCATTTCATTTGGGCTGCATCTAAGGTTCATTTAGGGTGCATTTGGGCTTGAAATTTTCGACCAAATGCCCCTAAGAAACCCTAGATGCTCTCCTCTCTCTGTAAGTACTCTAGTCCCTCTACCTTGTACCCACTTTGGAATATATGCATTTTGAGTGAGCCTTTGTGCCTCAAAATCCTTCCTTAGTCTCCTAGGATTCTCATTCCCAACCTCCTCTCCTCTCTACCCTAAAGAGATTTTGAGTTTCCCTTGAGTGGCCTCCACCAACCCTTGGTGGAGAGAGCTAGCCAAGAGCACCAAAAACACCTTCCACCTTCCCACCTCCATTTTCACCCACCTTCATCTCCACCCTTCAATATTGTTTTTCCACCACCCTTGAGGAACATCCAGCCACCATCCTTCTTCCTAGACCGTGGAGAAAAAGGGAGCTCCTCCTTGGAAGCCAAAGAACACACCATGGAAGGAAGGAGTCCATCATAATGTCTTGAGTTGTGTGCACGATTGTGTTTGAAATGAGACTTACTACCTATCTTTCTTTATATATGTACTTTTAACATGTGCGAACCATACTCTTTTCATTTTATTTTATATTTTTATATTAATTCTTAGGTTGGACTAAATATTTATTTATAAAATTAAAATTTAATACTTTTAAAATATGTTATCAATAATTAAAAACAATTATTTTTCTTAATATAAATTACTTATTTTAAATTGAATATATAATTCACATTTTTAAAAACATCAATTTATACAATTTTTAAATATAATATATATATGGCTTAATACAAACTAAAATGCTAATAAAATAAAGAGATAAAAAAGAATAAAATAGGAAAGAGAAATCAATAAATAAAATAATTAATGTAATAAAAATAGAAAAAAAAAATGAGATAAAGGAAGATAATTAAAAATAAAATAAAATTTGAATATACCAATATAATAATTTATTTTGTTCCTTCGCCATAAATTCAAAAAAAATTTAAATAAAATGGACTGTATGTCGATAATTTTCCCATATATACTATAGTCAATTCCTATTCCTTTGGACCAAATTAACTTAAATATTTCTGCAGGTATTGGACGTGACGTATGGTATGAGGCAACCTTATCATTGAAAAGCTTGTTTTTTTTTTATATCATATACGTAATTCGTTACATATTTTATCTTTATCTTTAATTTATTTGTTAGTGTTTGACTTTATTTGTTCTTTTACTCGTCGTGTTGCCTACGGCGGTAATTATAAAATATAAATATACAATTGAAAAGTTTTTTATTTTTAAAGAATTAGTATTTCATTTTATTTGTTATTTTACTCATCTTATCATCATCATAATTATTTTTACTTAATATTATCATTGTCATAATTATTATTATTATTTTCAAATTGATGCAATACTATTTTAAAAGACATATGAAAAATAATTTTTAAGTAATTAATAATATATAACTATTAAATTTAAAATATAAATTAAATAAAAAATAATGCAAACAAAATTACAGCACTATTAAAAATTTTCTTATTACATATGATTTTTTATGCAAATTTTTTATGTCTAGATAATATGTTTATGGATAATATGTTTTTGCAAATGAAAGTTTATTTTTTTTTAATAATTTTTTAACTTTTAAATGTTTCCAATAAATTCATCTGAAACATTAAGAAATTTGTTTCCACACCTCTAACAATAAATTTTCTTGTAAAAATAATTTTTTAAACTCTTAGATTGTAAATTATAAGTCTAACACTCAACCATACAAAATCAGCTTGTAAGGCGAGTATGTTGTCCCAACTTATATATTCTTTAATTGTTTTATTTCTGATCGATGTGAGATTTGAGAAAAATCTTTTAATTCTTAAACTTATATATATATATATGTATATATATATATTTATAT